CCATGTTGGCAAGGGTGTCGCTGTGGATAAATGGGAGAGGACGGCCTTTGCACTGAATATGTTCTTGATTTCTACCTCTCTTCATAGACAAAAATCAGTCCCACCTGGACTTCAAAATCAAATATACGAGAAGGGTGTTGGATTTTCACCCATGGAGGACTTTCCAGTGACTGAAGTGGAGGAGGTACCGGAAACAGGCTGATTCCCACAGCTACATAGAACCTCAGGGTCACTTTTTGTGGACTTATTTATCAGACTAGACATTTTCGAATTAAAAGGAGCCAGAAGTGAGAGTAACATACCGTACATCTACTCTCTGTTCACATTGCGTTTAAAAGCAGACAGAAGCGCCTTCGCGGTGCAGAGTTAAGTCAGCAGGTACCTTAGAGCATTTGGAGGCCCTGCCATGGGCCCTGAAGCCCTGGTCACGTTCAGCCTCTTGGGCATCAAGCTGTGCACCTGTGAGCTGTGTGGTTTTTCTCTAGAGGGATGTAAAAGGGTGTCTGTAAGAACCCCTTTCTTTGACACAGAAAATAATGGTTCTTGCTGATTACATCCTTCATGAAGATAAAAGTTTGTTGTTGGTTTTTCAAGAATTTTTAGGTGCTATAGGATTCAGGAATGGCAATATTACAGACAGGAGGGCCAGTTGGCATGACGGAAAAGCATGGACCTTTCAAGTGGTCCGTTCTAGACACAGACCCCAAAGCAACTTCATCCCTTGTGCGTGAGAAGTAGACATCGGTACTCACTGTGGGATAACCAGTAACAGACACTAATCAAACAGCTTGGGGATGGGGCCGGAGAAATCGATGAACAAGACGCAGTATCTTGTATAGTGAAGTTAAACATTGAAGGGGAATATATGCAGATATATAATTATAAAACTCTAAAGAGGGAATGATAGTTACAGAATATGTATAACACACGTGTACAGTGTGAATGTGTATAATAACACACGTGTAGGATGTGAAACAATGCTGTGTATACTCTTTAGTACACCCACATGGCCCTATGCTGTGAAATGGATGAGGATGCCTGGAAACCCTAGCAGCAGCAGCAGCAGCAGCAGCAGCAGCATGTGGAACAGTGGATGAGAAAGCTGAATAAGGGGGACAGAGGAACTTCAGCTTGTTCTTGTCCAGTTTCTTTCATCAGAAAAGCAGATGTGAGGCTGGTGATGACTCAGTGGGTAAAGGCACCTGCCGCTAAGACTTCAATCTCCTGGATCCATCCACATGATGGAAGGAGAGAAATGACTTTCAAGTTGTTCTCTGACTTTCACATAGCACAGTGACACATTCGTGCACATGCATGCACACACTTACACCCACACCCACACATACACAAATGTGCACAAAATAAATAAAATGTAATAAGTTTTTTAAGCAAATGTGACAAAATGTTAACATCTGTTCGCTGGCTCTCTGACCTCTTTGTTCGGTCACTCAAAATGAGAAAAATAAAGTTGAGATAATAGTATCCTTCATCACTGAGCCTTAGACCTGTTGTTTGGGTATTTTCTGTTCCTGTTTGTTTTAAGGAAACAATGTATATAAATATAAGTAGGGCTGAGGTAGCTGTTTCCTTTCTTTTGTTTATGTTCACTAAAACATGCTTGTTTTATTTAACATCTGAAATGTTTGATATTGCAATGTGGCCTTTAGACAAACTCTTGGGGGGTGAGATGAGAGGATCACAGTTGTAGCACAGCCTGTGTGTCGGGGACCGGCTTCCTGTGATCCACATCCCCACCCACCTCCATCACTAGAAGCATCCGTTTGTGTTACAGCCAAAATATTTGCAAGCAAAGAAGCAAGAAATCAGAAAGGTTTTCCTCGTGGGTGCTTACAACTGAAACCACTGATGTGTACTGGATCAGTGCCCAGACTCTGAGTGTCTCACAAGGGTTAGGACTCACTTTTTCCATGGCCGGTGGAACCTGTGCCAACCCCTGCATTGAATCCAGGGAGCCCTGAAGCTCTGCAGGGATGGAGGGGACGGCACAGCCCACAAAGTCTGCTTTTACTTTTTTGATTGATTGATTGATTGATTGATTGTCATTTGCCCAGCCTGGTCTTGAACTTCCACCTCCCTCTCATCACCTCGGTGGAGTCTACACTTGGTTGTTTGGGTTTGGGTCGGCAATGCTAGAGCCTTGAACATGCTAGGCAGGTGCTCTGCAGCTGAGCTGCAGCCCCAGCCCCGTTCAGTTTTAGTCGTTCTGAGTGTGCACGTTCACAGACATGCCCACACACTGTGACAGTTACTCACTGGGCTGGCCACCTGTTCCGTGGCCCTCTGCAGCGTCCCCCAGACAATTGCCTTGACCATATTTGAAAAGTTAACAAAGAAATGTAAACTTAAAACAGACTAAATATTGTACAGTGAGGTCCAACGTGGAAGCTTATAAATGTGTAAATATGAACTTCCAGGCATGAGTACACCCATCCCTTGCCCTCATGGGTCAACCAATGTCCTCAGCTAAAGTTGAACTTGACTTTACACAGTGCGTTTCTCTCTCCTGAAGACGAGAGAGGAAGTGGGCCAAGAAGAAGATACTGGGTGTGCTCAGCTTGAGACTCTTTCCGGGTCTAAGTTCAGAGCCAGCTCGTGCCCTGGATGTATGTAAGCAATCTGTCATCACTGTGTGCTCTAAGAGAACCCTGGGACTGTCCAGTGAGCTCAGTGGTGGCGGCTGAGTAAATCTAGGGTCAATTATTAGTAATTCTTTCCACTGTGACCTGAAGCCATGTCCTCTGTAGGTGATTTATCAGTACGAAAGGTGATAGTTTAGGTCAGTCTGCCTAGCCTGTCTCATAACTGGTTCTAAACTTGAGGTGGAGTGAGTATTAATGACTGTTCCCTCAGAAACTTGATCAATTGCTAAAAGACCTTAAAATGATAAATTAAAATAACCCGGGCTGGGCGGTGGTGGCGGCGCACGCCTTTAATCCCAGCACTCGGGAGGCAGAGCCAGGCGGATCTCTGTGAGTTCGAGGCCAGCCTGGGCTACCAAGTGAGTTCCAGGAAAGGCGCAAAGCTACACAGAGAAACCCTGTCTCGAAAAACCAAAAAAAAAAAAAAAAAAAAAATAACCCATGCTATCACCTAATAGTTTATATACCCATAGTTATTCTGTTGAATAGTTAAAAGCATTGCTCACTAACTTTTAAATTTCATGACTGGTTTGAAAATAAATGTATCCTCAGTTATTTGTGGTATGCTGAACCTTTCCTAGCTTGAGACAGACCTCAATAAAATGTTCATTTATAATTTAATATGCTCTCTGCAAAGGTACAAGCATTCACAGAAAATGTATTTCACTTAAACATTTAAGTATAAAAGCATACACACACACACACACACACACACACACACACACACACACACGCACACACACGCACAATGCCCAGCTCAGTTGCTGTAACAGACACTGTTCTGCACACGGCCTCTGTGTCTTGGCGGGAGGCAGTGATTTTAAGGATGGATTAGTCTTCTAATCTCTTTGGGGTTTCCTTTATATTTGTGGTGGTTTATGACTGACATCTAATGTAACTATACTTTCTGCTTACATTTAATAAAAGATTCGTTTCTGTGGCAGGACAGACATTTGCACTCTGGTGTGGAACAAAAGCTACTGCTCTGCAAGAAGGGTATAAAATGTTGATTTATAACGACACAGGCCAATAACAGCAATCTAATTCCTTCAAACTATTTCTTCCCAGGTCCTGGCAGGAGCATGGCTGCCACAAAGAATGACTCTTTGCCTTTAGAATATTCTGCCTTTAACACATCTATCCACGCTGGGATCAGATACAAGAACTGGAAACTCCTCACGGGCCACCCAGGTAGACTGCTCAGCTCTCTCCCGGGAACTGCCAGAGCAGGGGCTGTGTCCCCAACCTTCCTTTCCTCTCGGGACTTCATTCCCTGGGCCATTCCCATAGGAAGGGAGGTCGGAGGTTACCACTGTGTCTAAGCCCTTCCCCTCCTGTCCTCGCTCCTCAAGGCTCCTTGCCAAAGCTCCTCAGTTTGCTCAGACATCTGAGAGGCCAGCTAGTCCTTCAGATCTTTTATGGTCCCTGCAGATCTTAAGAAAGCAGCTCTCTCTACTGGAGGTTTCGTGGCCTCTGTCTGGTCCGTATCACCCAACTTCTGCTGTTGTGGTGGCCTAAGTAGACTCCCCAGCAAAAAGAACAGCCAAAGCTCACCGAAATGATGGCTGCCTTTAAAAAAATAAAGAAATGAAACATCCTCTCTGAGGCTGCAGAGTGGAGGAAAAGGCTTCCGCTGCTCGACCTGAACCTCCTCTGAGTTTGGGGGTTTGGTTTGGTTTTTAATTATCTGTAGTGCGGGTAAAAGGAGAAAATCCCACTGAGTAGTACTTCATAGACGTATATGGATTTCAGACACGCGTGCCTGTCAAACACAGCACACCTAGCTAGCCGAGAAGCTCCACCCACGCTGTGGCCGGGGCGAGAATCTGCTCCCCTGACCCCGTTCTCAGAAAGGGACATCTTGGCATGCTTACACGGGCTCTGATGCAATGTAGGCATGCTCAGCTTTGTGAGTGTTCTTGGTGTTTACAATGACAGTTCATCGTTGGGGACTGTCCCATGCATTGCACTGTGCTGTGCTTGCTAAATCCTGGGAGTGTAGTCATACCGTCCCCGCCCCGCCCCCTCCTGCCGCCACCCCACACGTATTTTTAATGTCCCTCGTTGTAAAGCAATAGGATCTGTCCCATTAAAACATGGGAACCATATTCTGAGACAAATGAATGAATACCAAGAGACACATGGTTGGTGTGTGTGTGTGTGTGTGTGTGTGTGTGTGTGTGTGTGTGTGTGTGTGTGTGTGTGTGACCATACCCACAAGCCAGGGCAGCCTTGTCCCCCAGATGCCCTGGGATGAGAACCCACCAACAGTGCTTCTCCCCCACTGAAGTGTGGTGTCTTTTTCCAGGCTGTGGTTACTGGTTCCCGCCTCCATCTCAATCCAACGTCTCTGAGATACCTTCGCTGGACTCGTTGACCAAGACACTCTGGCTGTTTGACATCAATCAGGACCCTGAAGAAAAACATGACCTGTCCCAGGAGCACCCCCACATCGTCCTGAAGCTCCTTTCCCGCCTGCAGTACTACCACAAGCACTCTGTGCCTTCCTTCTTCCCACCCTTGGACCCGCGCTGTGATCCCAAGGATACCGGTGTGTGGAGCCCCTGGATGTAGGGTCCCAGGGGAGGCTGGAGCACGTGTGTGCACGCTAGACCTTGGGCTCTACTCTTCTGGCTTCTTCCTTTTAAAAAAAAAAGCCCCAGCCCCTTCACCTGGCCCCCAGGCTATATAACCCACCAAAAGAGCCCAGTTTCAACCCACAGTACGTTTCAAAAGCCAGTGAAATCCAGATGGACAGATCCTGCTGTTGGCTGGCGTTCGTGTCTGGAGGCCAGGGTGACTGGTTCCTAAACTGCCGACGCTGGGAACTGGACATAGAAGGCTATCCCTGAGTCCTGGAGGCCAGAGCAGCTGGCTCTTTTTGCCTCACACGTCAGTCATTAGAACTCCCTCTGCTAATAACCAGTTTTATTGGCAAAACACACGTAACAAAGGCAGGGAGCAGATGATTTCCAGTGGTTCTGCTGGCTGTGAGGGCTCGCTGTCTGTGAGATCTTGTTCAAGCTTTCCACATCCATGACCTGCCGGCTCACCCCTCACTCACTCACCTCACTGTGGAGAATAAAGCCCATGGCAGTAAAGCAGCCTGGAGGAATGTCTGTGCCTTGGTTTTGGTTTGCACAACAACTAAACGTGCTTTTATTCTATCACCCTTACCTACTGTTGCTCGTTCTGTCTGGATTCCTGCCACCCAGCTTGAGTGGCCCTACCCCTGTCATGCCTTTAGATGTCACTGTCCTGTCCCTGAGGTCACTTTCCCCTCCACTCCAAGCATTGTGAGCTCTGGGATAGTCCCGAGCCCTTCCCAGAGAAGGTGGACTGGTCATTCTGTGGCCGTGCTCAGGAGAGTTGGGGGTCTGTAGCATCTGCTAAGGAGGTTTATTCTAGTTGTATGGAATCCAGCCAGATTGTGGCTGGGTCTCCCAATATGCCATGCATGCGTTCTCAAGCAGTGGGAAGAAAGGCCAGGAAAGCGACTTTGTCCCGAAGTGATGGGTGGGGCAGTTTGAGAAAGGGAGTGGCCAAAGTGTAGGCCTTAGTAAAGCAGAGGGGGCACCATCCTTATTCCTCTCATTCCGTGTTTCACTGCCTCGTATTGGGGTTCCGGGTGGAAGAATGAGGATACACTAGTTGACCTTCAACCCTTTCTCAGGCTCTTTTATCCTCCCAATGTGACTCCATCCAGATTAGCCTCAGAGAGTGTCAAGTCCAGATAGATGCCAAAACGGTGCTCCTCATCAGCACCGCTGCCTTGTTCTCGGCTTACACCAATGCCTGCTACAGGGTCTGGGACATAATAGGCACACAGTAGATTTTTGAAATGAATGAATTAACTGAATAAACAGCAAATACTCACCATGAATGCTAGTCCAGTGAGCTGACTATAAGGGCAATATAACTGTCCTCCAGCCCTTGCTCATCTGTCCTTCAGCTGTCCCCCCTCTGCCCTGGCGGGAGCACGATCCACATATCGGGACAGTCACTGGCCCTGCATGGCAGGGCTGTGATGTCCTCTCCAGGGGGACAAAAGAGAATTCTTTTTCCTAGGAATTCTCCTTTGCCAGCAATCTCATTCCCATTCCTCATTGAGCATTAGAAATTAAAACCACCAAATAGGATACAGGTCCTTGTGTACAGCCATCTCCCGTTCGGTAGCAGTATTTCCTGGTCATTGATATTCAGTATTTTGTTATGATAAGACTATTATGAGAAAATGGTGCTAAAGCTAATGACATTTTTGTACCAACCTTTACTCGACGCACATGCTGGCCATGGGGCCCCCTCTTACTCCAGAGTCCATGGCAGAGAGTCTGAGTCTGAGTGACAGGAGTCTGGACGTCCCTCCCGTCCCACAGCTGGAGGTGGCCGTTAGGATTCTGAGACTGAAGGTTACTACGACATAACACCTATTTGAATTTTCCTGATTATTCTCTGAGCAGCTGCCGTCAATCCTTTGACTGTGGGCTATCCTTGGAATGTTAACGTATGACTGGATTAAAGGAGACTTTCAGAAAGTAATGTTTAGAAAAATGACTGGAGAGTCCGTTTAATAAAACAAATAGAATGGCATAGGTCTCAGGATCAACCTCCTTGGATTTCGTGTATTATACAAAAAGGAAAGATGAATAATGTAGCTTTAGAAATATTAATATTAGTTCTTCGCAAATGTGTTTACCTCTAAAGAAGGATTTGTTTATTAACTTGTGAACTCATCTCTCTTTGTTACCACATGGACTGTTCCAGATTTGAGGGACAAAATAAAACTAATCTTTCTAAAACTCTGTCAGCCCTGGGGCCTCTGCTTGTGATGGTTAAAAGTTCAGGAGCTTGCAGTGTGCTGGGCTTTGCTGACTCCCCATGGGAGACCTCGATTTGGGGGATGTGGGGTGGCTTGGGAAAGAGGGCTGGGGGGTGGGAGGAGGGAGGAGGGGGGTCTGTGGATAGCATGTGGAGTGAGTAGAAAATTTCTTAATAAAGAAAAAAATGTTCAGGAGCTTGGCAATAAATGGTAGTTGAATGTCAAGGTGGACCCAGTGTGCTGGTACACTGTAGGTGGTGGAAAATAGGGAGGTTTTGTGTAAGAGACGCATTGCCACATTTTCCTGATTTGCTAGTTTTATATTATGTGAATTCTATCTCACCACATCTGTTACACAAATAAGAGCAAATATATTAGAGGGTTTTATTTTATTTTATTTTATTTTATTTTTTTGAGACAGGGTTTCTCTGTGTAGTTTTGGTGCCTGTCCTAGATCTTGCTCTGTAGCCCAGGCTGGCCTCGAACTCACAGAGATCCGCCTGGCTCTGCCTCCCGAGTGCTGGGATTAAAGGCGTGCGCCACTGCTGCCTGGCTGAGGTTTTTTTGTTTTTGTTTTTGTTTTTGTTTTTGTTTTGGTGTGTGTGTGTGTGTGTGTGTGTGTGTGTGTGTGTGTGTGTGTGTGTGTGTTTAATATGTTAGTCCAGTGAGATTGCTCAGAGGGAATATCACTTACCACACAAGCCAGACAACCTGAGTTTGCCTACAGGACCCACCTGAGGGTGGGAAGAAAGAACTGATTCCATAGACTTGTCCTCTGACATATGTGCCCTGCCATAAACACCCCCCACCATACACACATGCACAGTAATAATAAACAAACACTTAACAAACAAGTGAGACGTTGCCCTAAGAACATACGTTGTGGGCCTAGGGATAAGAGTGTTTGACTCACAAGGTGCTGGTTCAGTCCTTAGCACCACAGAAAAGGAATGTTCCCTACCAAGTCTTAGAGGGGCGTCAGTGAAGGGTAAGCATAAAAATGGCGATGACGGGGCATGGTAGTTTTTTATTGCTGGCCAAGAAATGACCCCCAAATGCAGCCACTCAAAGCCACAAATGTTGATTCTCGCACACATTGCGTAAGGGCGAGGACTCAGAATGGTTTAGGGTTGAATTCCGCTCCCGGGTCATTCATTGAGTCTGTGGGTCATTCATTGAGTCTGTGGGTCATTCATTGAGTCTGTGGGTCATTCATTGAGTCTGTGGGTCATTCATTGAG